TCGGCGGTGATTATCATTATCAAAAGGTAAATGATCTAGTTAAATAGACCTGGTTAATAATTCCCATGGCAAGTTCGAAATTCTGTTTCGTTGTTCGATTAATTCGTATTAATTCGATTGATTAGATAAAGTGGCTTGATAAGTTTTGCCCTGTTAATTTTGCAATTATCACCGTGCGCGGCTTATATCATCAAAGTCTTATTGCGTTAGATATTACTTTGAGATGCGATAAATTCAAAAATGTCTTCGTGATAATATTATCATCTTTGGTATAAAGTTATTTATCTTCTTGGAGGAGGAATAAAAAGAAATAAATGAAAAAAAATTGTCAACGAATGAGGAAATGAAAAGATTCATTTATAAACGCGTTACACGTGACAATTAGGAAAGGTCCAAATCAAAGCGTACGATAACCAAGAGATTCGAATAGTCCCGTTCTATCAGGCGTTTAGACTCGATTAGGAAGTGCGCGTGTATGTGCTTGCGCGCGCCCTCGTATTTTAACAAAGCCATAAGTCTAGCCGATGAATTCATTGTCCTTTTGGCAAGGTGGCGCGCGCCTGCGAGTCCTACTAAATCGCAAATTAGTAGACAAAACGAAGAAGGTGTATGACGACGGGGGAGGGATAGGAGATTGGTCCAGGAGAACAGGGGTAGAGGTGGTTCGTCGCGGTCATCAGAGGGGTCGGAAACGTCGGAGCGCGCCAGTCGAAGGCGAGACTTCGCTCGCGCAGCTTGTCTTCATTTTCTCTCGCACGTTCGTTCTTTCCTTCCTTCCTTCTCTCTCTCTCTTTCTTTCTCTCTCTCTCTCTCTCTCTCTCTCTCTCTCTCTCTCTCTCTCTCTCTCTTCCATATTCGATCCTTCGTTCGTTCGTTCGTTCGTTCGTTCGTTCGTCCGTTCGTTCGTTCGTTCGTTCGTTCGTTCGTTCGTTCGTTCGTCCGTCCGTTCGTTCGTTCGTTCGTTCGTTCGTTCGTTCGTTCGTCCGTTCGTCCGTTCGTTCGTTCGTTCGTTCGTTCGTTCGTTCGTTCGTTCGTTCGTTCGTTCGGAAGAACGACCAACGCTGACGTCTCTTATTCGAGTTAATCTTCGAAGAGGAAGAAACTCGACGTTTTCCTTATTAGTTAAGGCAAAGTTTGGAAGAAATTACGACGTTAAGCAAAGGAAAATTCACAGCATGACTCCGCCACGTGGAGATGCGTGCTAAAGGATTTACGTTTGGAAGAAAAAGCGAATAAATTATTTAAAAAAGGGAATAGCGAGAGGAATAGAAGAAACTGGGATCGATTTAGATCACGAGATTTTTTCTAAGAAAAGTCCTTTCATGTAGAGCCTACGGACAAGGATCGCAATGATACACCGTCGACGATCTCTCTTGTTTCTCGTGCAGACGGTGCTTTTAGCAGGTGAGTCCCACATACATCTAGATCGTTTAGATTTATTCCATTTAATTCCTCGTACTTTTTTCTTACCGTACGTGGAACGGAGGTAAAAGTGTCCTTTCGTGAAGGCGCGCTTTTCTATCGCTGCAAGATCAACGAAACGTATTTTCCCTACTGGTGGTTAAAGTTTCAAATCGATCGAATTTCTGTGATCTCGTAAATTTCAATACTCTATATGTGTAGATCGAATCGTAGAATTCCAGTATGTTCGCGTAGTTGTATCGTATAGCTTTTTTCCTTTTCATTTTTTTCTCTTTTGGATCTTGCTGATATTTATTGGATCTTCTATTTAATTCGTCGACTATTCGACGATCGATCTTATCGAAGTTAGGAAAAATACGAGCATTCGTGCGTTAGATTCGATCGTCGGTCATCTTTTCGTCAATTATTGCATAAGTGATATAATATTCAATAACCACGCTACTGTTCGTTGTACATAAAGTGGTATATTTAAATATAACATCGATACTATATTTATTGGAAACCATATAAGATAAACACGATGGTACGATGTTATTTGATAGCTTTCATCGTTTCGTAAGAATACAACGGAGCTTTTCCTTAATCTCGATACTCGCGGTGGAGCTTCTATGTTAAACGAAATTTAACATTCGTTTTACGACTTTCTACGAGTCGGTATAATGTTTGAGAGAGAGAGAGAGAGAGAGAGAGAGAGAGAGAGAGAGAGAGAGAGAGCGAGGGAAATACGCGTTTGGGAAAAGAGAGAAAAAAGAGAAACAAACATTAGTAAAAATGTAGCTAGCAGCAACCCACTTTTTTCGCTATCAATCATCCTTGCGATGTTTGGATGGATGGGAAAAGGGAGAGGAGTGGAAGGGTTTTGCTTGATACGAGCTAGCGTTGATAGAAAATTCACTGATGGAAATTCGAAGGAGAAACGAGATACGTATCGAATAAGTTTTAGGAATCGTTTATCAAAAGTTGAAAGAATTTTTTTATTAGTAAAACTATTTCAGGAGAGGCGAATGAATTTTTGAAATTCGGCCTTTTCGCACTTTCCAAATGAAACCACGATCGAAGATCACTGATTTTAAAGTTAATATTTAATCATCCATATGTATGCCGTTTTGGTTTCTTGCCGACGATCATTGCGAAATTATTTATTAATACTGGAAACGTATGCGTCTGCTTTAAAACGTTTTCTTTTTGGTAATCTCCTGGAATTCGTCGGCTAAAAAAGAAAAGAAAAAACCCAGGATCGATTAGGCAACATCAATTAGGCGTCAAATTATTTTCCGACTTTTAACATAAAGCGTCATTCGAGCCTTGTCTATCTATTAATTACGTTGCAATCATTGTATTCGTTTACGTTCTCATTAATGCTCGACGTTACATAGCTTTCTTTTGTGCGATTGATTTACGTACATACGTGCTCGATTGTTATCGCGCGAGACGAATGCCGTGATTTTTTCAACTCCACGCTTACCTATATAGATATTTCGGGAATTAGCTCGCGTGTGCACAAGTTTATAAGGGAGAATTCGTTTACTAATCTCGTTCTTCGAGCGCTTCGTCGCTCGAACCATCGTCCGACCTATCGACCTATCGATCTTTCCCTTTCGAGTTACGAAGTTGGAAGCGAAGGTAATCGAGAGAACCGGACTTTTCCAAATTTTCGATTAACCGGTATTAATACCGGTACTAATACCTGTACAATTCCCTCCTCCCCTTCCCCCTTCTCCCTATTACACGAAGAAATATCGATCGTGTCGTCGTCGTCGAGTTAGAAGCGAACGCACTTTTTCTTTTTTCCTTCGTAAAATCTTATATCGTTAACGTAACATTGGTCTTTAATCAATCCTAAAATAATTTCGCATAATCTTTTTCCTTCGTCAAAGATGCATTATGCCCAAAGTATCGTATGATTTTCTTTTTATTTTTTTATTTTTTCAAGTCGTTATCAAATGCCCCACTTACGAGTCTCTTTTGCCAAGTTAATCCGCTTCATTCCATAAAGTTTCATCAGTCGTCACATTATTCGAGCTAATCCGAATACGCACGCATGGATTTTCCGAACTGCCATACGTCTCTATGTTCTCCGCATATTTTTTAAGCCATGATTTTTGGACAAACGTTAATTACGTTGCGCTCTTACTTAAGGTTCGTATTACGTTGACGTCGCGTATATTTTCGCTTTGTTTCGTGTAAAACCATAGCGGTCTATGCACTTTAATCATAGTTCATTTGCGAGGAAAAGTATTATATGTTAGAGAGTATGGCGCGTTACATTAATATATAAAATACGACATGGATAAGGAAAAAAAAAAGCTAACTTGGAGGAAAAAGTGTAATTATCAAATGGACCAATTCTTCTAATCAAGGAATTTTAATTATTCCGTTTAACAGGCAAACGTTCTTTTTTTCGCGTTGAGTCGATGAAATTTTACTAGGGTTAGATTTTATGCGATAAACGATATTTATGTTTGTGCGAATGATCATCGAACGTGATAATTTCGACTCTAACGATTATCGAACTTTACTTAGATTTTTCTTTGTTTCTAAGAAAAAGGATAGAAATTTCATCAACTGTATTTCCGTTCATCCCCGTTAAGGTGATTATTTCTTTCGTTGTCACGATCGGAGGAGTCTTTGAATTTCATGAAATCGTTATTCACGTCCGGGTATATTTCAGGATCGATATTCGTCTATGATAACGTCTCTTTTCTCTTTTCTTTTTTCTTTCCTTTTTTCTTTCATCTTTACCTTCGCTGTTATTTTTTCTCTCGTCGTTGTCGAACGATTATTTTCAACGAGTCGCGCCGACTGAATTTTAATCGATATAAAGTACCGTACCTTCGCGGTTTAGCATGATCTTAACGAATTTAACGAGTCGCGTACGAGATATTTTCACAAGAGATCCGTACTACCTTTGCCTTTTCAACCACGTGCTTTTCCTTGGACCGTACACACGGAGAAGAAAGACACGGAAGGAGAAAGGAAAGATATTTCTCTTGAAGAAGAAACAACGATCAGCCATTCCCACCTCCTGAGTCTCGCGCCTGCTGAATATGCATGAAACAATCGCATATCTCATGCAATTAGCCTAAGTAAATCTTTTTGCATTTCCTCTCTTCGTCCATTTCTTTCTCTCCCTCTCCCTCTCTCTCTCTCTCTATATATATATATATATATATATATATATATATATTTGTGTGTGTGTGTGTGTGTATGTATATATGTATGCATGTATATATATATACGCGTACACACACAGAGCCATCCTACGTGCGTATATGTATATCCTCCATCTCTTCTTTCCCGTTTCTATGGGCCAACGAACGAACGAACGAACGGACGGACGAACCAACGAATGGATGGGCGAACGAACGAACGCTTGGAAAAGTTCGCTCTAATCAGAGTGCATTTGTAATTTCCACGGGCATTCGTCGTCGATGCAAATTGCATTTTGAACATCGCGGACGGACAGTCGCCCGATAAAATCACGCTCGTTGTTCTTCGTCATTGTACTTTTTGTTTCTACGTGCTATCCGTTCCGATTCTAAATACGGAAAGAACTTGGCGAATACGAGCTGCCGCTTTATCGCATATTACCATCCGCCTCACCTTTTACGACTATCATAAAGTTTCTAAAGCAGCACAAACAAGCCGAGTTGGTATCCTAAAAATGTATACATATTTTACGGTAACTCGCCTTAAACCGTACATACATATCTCTTTATGATTCCCATCATTTATATCGTAAAAGACGAAAGTATATATATATATATATATATATATATATACTGTTCGGTTTAGTTACTCTTTCTTTGTTGGCATATCGATTTCCATGGAATGATTTCTTACTGGGTCCATCATGGTCACCTTTCGGATAAGAAGACATTTTCCTCTTGTATAATTTTCAACAGATGCGTGAAAGAAGGAAAGCTAGACCGACGCCCTATTGCAATACAGTCGAAATAATGGCGACACTTCAAGTCCCTTCTACGCAAGTCCTTGCATTTTGTAAAGAAACACATCTGATGAGATCCTCCTCCCTTCCTAATATTCCGTAGTACAGTGGTTAAGTAAGAGACTACCTGTGTGACCGCTCCATCCTACCTGCTGAATCCCAGCCAAATTTGATTTTTAATTCAATCGCGAGCGAAACTTTTTCCCCCACTTTCAAATATATATATATATATATATATATGTATGTATGTACGTTTAATCCGTGGGTTAGCGAATATATATGATATCATCATATATCTCCCTTGAGTTTTTATGATAATAAGAATTTATCTTAGAAACAAACATCGGTTAATTTTTTTTACATTATCACGTAGAGTATCTACGAACATTTGTGAACTCATTTATACGGGATACGACAGAGATTTAATAATGTTGGACATTCGACTAGAAAATATTTTATTGATTCTGAAAATATTTTTATAGCGCGATGAGGCAGGCAGCATCGGGCTTTTTTTTTTACTCTCTCTTCACGGTTCTCTTTTCCTTCGTCGCTTGCTTAAGAGATAGAAAGAACGAAAGAGGGAAAGCACTTGGCGTGTTCATCTTGGATGTGTTCTCAGGAAACATTGCGAGCGATGGTAAGCTCGGGGACTGCGTTAAAATCTACTTCTTTTCGCACCTCGTTGCTTCTGTTAACCAAGATTCGTTCAAAGAAAAAATAATAAGATGATCGACGGTTAAAATACCGAGTGAACTAGGTGCCTTTAAGAAAATTACTTTCTTCTCTTTTAATATTTGTCAATAATATAATTGTCTACAAAAAATAAGAAATATAAAAATAAAATAATAAAAAGGAGATCAGAAAATTCTACCAAAGTAAAACTCGACGGAGTTGGCCAAAGCTTTGGATGGAAAAGTAAAAGTGGTATGAATGAGAGGCAAAGCGAGAAAGGAAAATTGAAAAGATCGAGTCACCGGAAGAAACGAGTGCGCTTCGTGAAATTCGCAAAAGATTCGATTCTATGGAGGTTTCA